TATGAAAGAAATAAAAATCTTACCATTTACAGAAATTTCATCATGAAGATCCTTACACTCAACATCTTTAAGTGATGAGTTTTCACATGACTGCTTTCAAGACCACGGCCAACACCTTTAATCTAAGAAAAGGATGACAGGCTTCATTCTAACAGAAACCCCCTTAAGGTTTATTCTCCAAACTTGTATTAAAAGGCTGAGCCTCAGCAAGTCAGATCTCCTCACAAAAGATGTCACTTCAGACAGGGATAACTTTAAATCATCCTCAGCTCAGCCAATAACAAAGATTCCTAAATCCCAGCGATCCAAAATGCATTTTCCACGTCCCTCTTTCACCCCTGCATGCCCTGACAAGGATCCACGTTGGCGACAGTGACACCTAGTGGCCCCAAATTACTTGGGCAGAGACCCTCGTTTTTATCATTAAAATTAGCATTCTGAATTCTGCGTAATTTCTTACCATAGCTGGCTTGTACGTCAACACGTATTCTCACATTCTAACTTCAGAATAAAGCAGGAGGTGAATGTATGTGATGGGACCAACTCTGCTTTCTCATTTCTGGCGACCACTCAGGCCCTGCCTGCACCCATTCTAACTCATGTTAGGGCTCCATCCATTACTGTGAACCTTCAACCTGGAACTCTGCTTTTCACCGTATCTGCAGATGCCAAAGAAGGGCTTCTGAGGAAAGAAGAAAGGCTCGTGTTAAAACCGTGGCTTTCAAGAATAAGTCTGCAATCCTATTGATTCCTATCTGTAAAGTTAAATATAAACTACCGATCGAGGCCGTCCTCAAAGCACTCCAAGTGGAATCATGTCTTCACACGTTAACAATACTGATGCTGAATTGAGAACCACCACCGTCAAAGTTTGCCTGTACGCGGACACCAAAGACCCCCGGGCGCCCACGCTCAGCACACGCGCGGCTGAGGGGCACGGGGCTGCCTAGGTTATTAGGATCTCTCCCCGGCAGAAGCCGGCCCTGTAACGCCGAGGACGGGCTTGAGCTTTCTCCCTTCACATGATAACATTTTCTCGCCGCCTGGAAAGCATTTTCTCATCCAGTACTTGTTAACCCTCCCAACCACCCTATGAGGGAGAAGCCGAGCTTATCACCACTTCGTCTCTGAGGAAGGGAGACCAAGTGTGTTAGTGCTGTGTCAAAGAAGACCCCATTTTTCCACTCAGGCAGCCTTACCATGACAAATGCCTGAGGCTGTTGGCCATGCTCAACACCGACGGGACCAGCCATGACTTTCAGCCACGCGGCCGACAGCGAAAAGAACGCGAGATCGCGCCTGCGTGCAAGTCTTCCCGACAATCCCTCCGGAACTCTCGCGATGTTGAGAAAGGGCTGAAGGGAAATGTAGTTCAAAACCGCGGTGGCTGGGGGCCGGCCGCGTCCTCAGCGCGACTGTAGAGCCGGGGGTAAGATGGTGGTGGTCGCCACCAGAGGCAGTGGAGGGTCGGGATGGGAAACCAGGCCTGTGAAGAACCACGGCTGTCAGAAAACGAAGCTAGAGGGTCGCTGCTGCCGTAAAGTCATTGAGCTTCAGCACAGGTTGTCCCTGGCCGAGACGGGAAACAGAAAGTTCGAGGGGGCAGGGACGGATGAGGAAACCGGGGCTTGGCCGAATATCTTTTTTTAATTGCTTTGTGTATTTTGTTTGAGGGAGGATAGAGGTATTTGGGGTGGTTCATTGGGATAGTGAAGAAGAGAGATTCCAAGGAAATCGTGCAACTTCCAGCTCAGGTGTTTTTAAGATTGGGGTGAGGCCCAGGCGCAGACGGCAGGGGGCGCTCGAGAGCGACGGGGCTCGGCCTCGGCGGCTGCCCAGGCCGAGCGTGCTTTTTATTCCGAGAAAGGAAAACAGGCGAGTGTCACGAGTGGAATTACGAAAAGAACGGAGAATGATGTAACATTCACCCCTCTTCTGAGTGTTATTTTCCAGGCAACCACCTTGGCTTCATTTTTTTGTTTGTTTCTGGGTTTTTTTGGTTTGTTTTTGAGGCAGGGTTTTCACCCTGGCACCCAGGCTGGAGTGCAGTGGTGCAATCATAGCTCATTGCAGCCTCGACCTCCTGGGCTCAAGTGATCCTCCCGCCTCAGCCTCCCGAATGGCTGGGATGACAGGCGAGCGTCACCACGCCCGGCTGATTATTTTTATTTCGTATAGATGAAGTAGGTTTCACACTGTGTTGCCTGGGTTGGTCTCAAACTCCTGGCCTCAAGCAATCCTCCTGTTCTGGCCTCCCAAAGTGCTGGGATTACAAAGGTGAGTCACTGCGCCTAGTCTGGCTTCATTTTTTAAATAAAAATAAGGCAAAAACGACAACAACCAGGGCCAGAATTTGCCCCTATTTGGAAGTTAGTTTAAATTTGCAAGACCAAGAGCCTCTTCTGCATTTCAGTCTCCCCATTCCCATCCACTCATTACTATGGCCTTTGGTGTGGATTATATTGTCCTGCCGGTGGTAATATGTTGCAGATACGTATCTTCAAATCATCACCTTTGCTTATGTTTACCTCCTTTCATTTGGGTGTAAGCTCTTCAAGGGCAGAAGTCTCTTTTTATTTTTATTTATTTATTTGTTTTTGAGATGGAGTCTCGCTCTATAGCCCTGGCTGGAGTGCAGTGGTGCTGTCTCGGCTCACTGCAAACCTCCGCCTCCTGGGTTCAACCAATTCTTCAGCCTCCCAAGTAGCTGGGATTACAGGCACGCATCACCATGCCCGGCTATTTTTTGTATTTTTAGTAGAGATGGGGTTTCACCATGTTGGCCAGACTGGTCTCAAACCCCTGACCTCGTGATCTGCCTGCCTGGGCCTCCCAAAGTGCTAGGATTAGAGGCTTAACCACTCTGCCCAGCCAAGTAGCCATTCTTTTATTCCATTGCTTTTCTAATAAACTTGCTTTCACTTTATGGACTCACCCCAAATTATTTCTTGCTCAAGATCCAAGAACCCTCTTTTGGGGTCTGGATCAGGACCCCTCTCTGGTAACTGTCACTGCCCCCATTTCACAGATAAAGAAACGGAAGCACTGGGAAATTTGGTAACTTGCCCAAATTCACATAACCTATAACTGGCAGGGTCAGGATTTGCTCCCAGCCTGTAGAATTCATGCTTTTACTACTAATGAAAAAGGTGATCTTAGTATAAGGACTTTTATTTTGGAAGAGGAAGAGAGAAGGAAGAAGATTTTCATGTGTTTGTAGGGGTGGTTGGGAACAAAATCAGAAACGAGGTTGAAAGGAGGAACGATGAGCACCTGCTCTGCCACTGGAGCCACTCTGTGGCAGGAAGAGTGGGGAGGGGAGGCTGCAGGGCTGATGTGTGGAAGACGGAGGCTCCGGGCTCTAGCGGGGCTACATTGGGCCAGGATGCCACCCAGTGTATGGTGAGGGCCATTCTTCACATTCTTCACTCTGCCACGGGCCACCGAGTCACTTTCATACCTGACTGGACACCACTTCCCCGGCAGTAGGCTCGTGGCGGATGGGGATGCTAGGGCAGCCGGGCAGTGACCAGGAGGCAGGAGTGAAATACAGTGAAAGGCCTCATACCTGAGCACACATGAAGTAACTGCACAGCCAACCCAGAAATAACTGGGGAAACTTCAGAGAAAGCATCAGAATTCCTGAATGAGCCGGCAAGGGCTGAGCTGTTGAGGCTGAAGTGTTGATGTTACTGTGATGTCATTTGCACTCATTGCTGGTGAGAGCTAGGACATCTGAGTTTTACCTACCGTAGAATTATTATAGAGCCATTATACAAGGCTAGTGCAGACCCCTGTTTATTGACATGGAAAGAGTCACAGTCTAGTAACCCTTTACAAGCAGGAAGGCGAAGTCCCCAGTGCTGTTCAGGGACACAGGCTCTGAGTGCAAAGGGAAAATCTGGTCAGCAGGCCCACTGTGTTGAGGCAGTCACTGACAGGGTTGAAGACATGGTGTCTGAAACCCACAGTAATAGAAAACAGAGTCTTTAGGCTGGTCGCAGTGGCACATGCCCATAATCCCAACACTTTGGTTAGCCAAAGCAGGAGGATCACTTGAGCCCAGGAGTTCAAGACCAGCCTGAGCAACCTAGGGAGATCCCCATCTCTATAAAAAATTTTTAAAAAATAAAACAGCCAGGTGTCATAGCACGTGCCTGTAGTCCCAGCTGGACAGGAGGCTGAGGTGGGAGGATCGGGAGATTGAGGCTGTGCAGTGAGCCATGACAAGCCTCTCTTTTTTGAGACAAAGTCTTTCTCTGTCACCCTTGCTCTGTCACCTTGAGCAAGGGTGACAGAGCAAGACCTTGTCTCAAAAAAAGAAAAAAAACCCTAAAAATAAAGCAAACAGTCTTTAGAATATTGAGATTATTTCTCAACCCAGAACAGAATCCTTAATTTTATTAATAAGAACACAGAAGAAGGTAGGTAGTATCCCAAGCAGCTGACTGCTTACATCTGAACAGTGGGCAGCAGCAATATCAAGGAAGCACATGTGTATGGCAGGCACTGTTAGTGGCCAGTCTCTTCCTCCAGCTGATGAGCCTACGCTCTCTTCAGCTGCTGGGCGAGGGTCTGCTTCAGCAGGAGCAAGCCCCTCCCTAGCCCCAGGGGCAGACCTTGATTCATCTGTACCAGACAGGGTGAGTCTATTCCCTTTGCTGGACATTGTTTTGGGAAAGGGTCTGCAATGCAATTCTGGCCAAGTTTAGAAAGGCTTTCCTGCTTTTAAAAACAACAGCCTCTCTTCTGGCTTAGGGACACTGTGAAATAGTGATGCTGGGCCTGCTGGAGCCGTCTTGCATCTGTGAGGCTTCCGTTAAGCAGGAGCCAAAGGACTGCGATGGCAGAGTAGAGAGAAGAAAGAACATGAGTCCTCAGTGTTCGAAAACCCCAGTCTCAACACCCCCACGATTCAGACCTTGTTTTGATTCAGAGACAGGTTTGTACAGATATAGATATATATGTACAAAAAAATATATATAGTGCATATATATATATATGTACTATATATATATTTTTTTGAGACAGAGTTTTGCTTTTGTCTCCCAGGTTGGAATGCAGTGGCATGATCTCAGCTCACTGCAACCTCCACCTCCTGGGTTCATGTGATTCTCCTGCCTCAGCCTAGTAGCTGGGATTACAGGTGTGCACCACCATGCCCAGCTAATTTTTGTATATTTAGTAGAGAAAGGGGTTTGGTCATCTTGGCCAGGCTGGTCTCGAGCTCCTGACCTCAGGTAATCCACCCACCTCAGCCTCCCAAAGTGCTGGGATCACAAGCATGAGCCACCATGCCGGGCTGCATTTTCATATTCTTAAATGCAGGATGTGTCTTACAAGCAATGGCATCTCAGTTTGAGTGAATTACAAAATGTGAGATTTTGAAAAGAAATTAAGTCATTTTAATTTGGGTGTTCTGTTTCAGTCAAATCATCCTAAATGATATCTTTTAAAAATAATTCTTCCCGGAAGAATGGATCATGGCAGAAGACAGAAGATGAGCTGGTGTGCAAGCTTCCTTTCTGAAATAATAGCAGCTGTGTGTACGAAGCGTTTACTCCGCGCCAGGTACCCTCCAAACACATTTTATTCACTGTCTCATCTGATTCTCATGACAGCCCTGCCATTATCCCCCCCACCCACCCATTTTGCAGCTGAGGAAGCCAAGGTACAGAAACGTTAAAGGAATTCACAGGTGAAGGCATTGAGACCTGAACTCAATCCAGCCTAAAAACCCATGGTCTCAGCCACCATGCCCTGTTTCCTACAAAAATTACACTATGACAGTGGAACGTTTTTGCTTAACTCCAGAGATTTTAATTCATCCCCCTAGAAAGCCCGTCATGAAAACGTAGAGGATTTTTTTCCTGAGAGTTCTTGGGACCGTGAAACAGGGTCACAGATCCTATTCAGATATCTGGGATCATGCAGATGACCAGGCAGATGGAAGAAAAGTAAAAATATAAAAATAAAACATAAAACTGGGATCACTGCATTAAGTTTAACTTAGCTTTAACTTGCTGGAGGAGGAGAAACATAACATAGACCCTATGCATTGAGAATAGATGACCTTGGAGTTGTGGATTATCTGTGCCCGCCAGCAGAGTCCAGGAAGAAAAGCAACGCATTTGACGTCCCTGCTTGGAAGAGTCACTGCCTCTAGATTATCACTCAAAAATTGATTTTTAAAAAATAAAAATAAATGCATTTGGAGACGATATAATGTTCCACGGATCTCTTCTGTCATTTCCTGGACACGTCTCTCCATGCCCAGAAACCTCTGCCTTCTCACAGCTGTTGCATAACCTTTAGCTTGTGATGGTGTTTATTCCTTTTGCCTTGAAAGTCCCTTCCTTGCATCTTCTTCCCTGCTCAGCAGATTCCAGCTGGTACTTAAGTACCTCCCCTGCGAAGTCTTGACTGAGATGCTGCAACAATTTCCGAGCTGTTTCCTCGTGGCACCTTTCTGCTGACAGGTGGATTAGCACATTTTCTGCAATCCAGGATGACCTGAAGGAAAATCCCAGCTCTACTGATTCTAGCTGAGTAACCTTGGCAAAGGTCACCTCACTTCTGAGTCTCATTTTCTCATCGGAGGAGGAGGAAGAGGAGCCAAACCTCACTGGAGGTCGTTAAGTCAGTGCTTCAAAGCACTTAGCACAGTGCCTGGTGCAAGGTAAGCACTTGATAAATGGGAGTTTATGTTATTGCAACATACTTTGAACACTCATCCCACTCTTATGATTATTTGTATGTCTGGCTTTTCTGCTAGATGGTGAGCAAAACAAGTATCAGTCTTCATTCTAACTCTGTGTCATCTTTATTCTGGTGTAATTTACACACAATGCAGTGTAACCATTTACAATGTACGGTTCAGTAGTCCAGGAAGTGTATACACCCATGTAACCACAATCCCAGTTAAGATTTAGAACACTTTTGTCACCACAAAATCACCTTCTTAGGCAGGGCTGGTGGCTCATGCCCGTAATCCCAGCACTATGGGAGGCCGAGGCAGGTGGATCACCTGAGGTCAGGAGTTTGAGACCAACCTGGCCAACATGGCAAAACCCTGTCTCTACTAAAAAGACAAAAAATTAGCCAGGTATGGTTTCGGGTGCCTGTAATCCCAGCTACTTGGGAGGCTGAGGCAGGAGAATCACTCGAACTCAGGAGGCAGAAGTTGCAGTGAGCCGAGATTGCGCCATGGCACTCCAGCCTGGGTGACAGGAGTGAAACTCTGTCTAAAAAAAAAAAACAAAAACTTCTTAGCCTTGTAGTCAACCCCCATATCTAACCCTGGTCCCAGCCAACCACAGATGCCTCTGTCACTATCAGTTGGTTTTGCCTGTTCTAGAATTCCATGCAGATGTCATCACACAGTAGGTAGCCTTTTGTGCCTGGCTTCTCTCGATTTACCCATGTCTTTTGCATCAGTTGTTCATTTCCTTTTCCTTGCTGAGTATTAATTCTATATATTAGTATATCTCAGTTTGTTTACCTGCTCACATGTTGAGGAATATTTGGGTTATTTCCAGTTTGGAGCTATTACTAATAAAGTTGCCGTGAACTTTTTTGTAGCCTTTTTTGTGGATGTACGTTTTCATTCCTCTGGGATAACTTTGTAAGAAACTGCCACGCTGGTTTCCCAGGTGGTTGTAGCACTTCATCAGTCTCTAGCAGTATATGATACATGACAAGGTCACATCTTGGACGGTACTTACTATGGTCAGCCTTCAGCTTCAGTCCCTCTGGTGGGCATGCAGTGGTATCTCATTGGGCTTTTGATTTGCATATTGAACATCTGTCTTTCCCAAAATGCTGGGATTACAGGTGTGAGCCACTGTGCCTGGCCACATGTTGAACGTCTTTTGATGTATTTGCCGTATGTATGATTTTGTTGTAGTGTATATTAAAACCTTTCCCCACTGTTTTATTGGGCTGTCTTATTATCGAACTGTAAAAGGTCTTTAAGTATCCTGGATACAAGTCCTCTCTCAGAGTTTTGTTTGGCAAATATTTACTCCCAGTCTTTCCAAGGGCAGAGGTTTCATTTTGATGAAGTCCAATGCACGGATTTTTCTTTTCTGGTTAGTGCTTTTTGTATCCTGTTGAAAGGACCTTTCTTTCTCCATTGGATTACCTTTGCTGCATCTGGTTTTGGATTCCGTTGATCTGTGTGTATGTCCTGAAGAATCGCACACTGTCTCAACCTCTGATTGTCTCCTCACCGTAGTAAAGCCGCTGTGATCCACTTAGGTTTTCCTCCCCAAACCGTAGTCAGGGACCTGGTTCCAGGCAGTCGTGGGGTCAGTGTCCTGTGTGCTGCCTGTTGCCAAGTGTCTGTTTCCTGTATTTTGCCCAGTTTTCTGGTTGTTAAGTGGCAGAAGGTCTTAATCCGCTTCTGGATCCACAGGGCCGGGCACACAGCACCTCCAGACACAGTTCATTATAGTCGCTTTCGATTGGGAAAGTCGGTGGAGCCCCCAGAGAGCTTCTGGTCCATCCCCTTCATTTTACGAAACAGTCATTTTCCGGAGGAGATCATTAGTCCTTCGCATCCTCACCCCAGCCCGCTGGGGCTTGACGAATGTTTATCAAATGGGGAAACCAAGGTCCAGAGAACAAAAGGTCACAGGGACAGGCAGGATTGGGCTGGCAGAAGTAGGCCACCTAAGCTGGGGCCTTCCTATAGGACCAACCGGCAGGGCAGAGTCTCTCTTTCCTCGCGGTGTCAATCCTGACAGCTGACACAGGGTTTGTACATTGCAGGTTCCCAGAGCATGCTTGTTAAATAAATGACCAAATGAACACATTATTTTAACGCTTAGTTAAAAATGGCTTCTGCCTCTGTATATATTAAGTATATGTGTGTCTGTGTGTATGTGTATGTCTGTGTGTGTCTGTCCGTGTGTGCATATATGTGTGTATGTGTATCTGTATGTGTGTATGTCTATGTGTATATGTCTGTGTATATGTCTGTGTGTGTGTGAAAGTGTGTATGTATATGTGTAAGTGTGTGCATATGGGTGTATGTGTATGTATGTGTTTGTGTAGGTGTGTGCATATGTGTGTATGTGTATCTGTGATTATGTGTGTGTATCTGTGTCTGTGTGAATGTGTGTGTATGTGTTATGTGTCTGCGTATGTGGATGTCTGAATGTGCATGTGTGTGTGAATGTGTATGTGTGAATGTGTGTATGTGTGTGACTGTATGTATATGTGTATGTCTGTGTATATGTGTGAACGTGTGTGTGAATTGTCTGTGTGTGAATGTGTGTGTATATCTGTGTGTGTGTGTGAATGTGTGTGTGTGTGTATATCTGTGTGTGTGTGTTGACGTAGGGACAGGATTGGCCTCTCCTACCCAGGCTCATAGGCTGAGTCTGTTAGCAAATCTTTTTGGTTTTAACTTTCTCAGCCCCTGCAGTTGTAATCCCCACTAGGGGGCACATGTGTCCCACAGAGAGGGTCTGTGCTCCTTGGGCATGAGGACTGGCTGCCACCTGTCAGCGGATCCCCCTCAAAGCAACCTCCTTGGTCTTCATGTCCTGCACCCTCCCCCTGCAAAACCAAATCAAGACAGCCTTCCTCGCCAGGCTCCCCCTTCTCCAGCTGGGCTTCTGGCTGCCGTCCTCTCCTCTCCCCAGGGCCCTGCCCTGGGCTGAAGGAGGCAACAGAGTGGCAGTGGCAGTGATGGTAGGTGGTGACCTCGCTATCTGTCATCGCTGCGAGGGGCCACCACCTCCTCCCTGAGGAAGACTGAGGAGTCCTAGCGGAGCAGCTCTCCTCTCATGTTGCCTGGCAGGCAAGAACCAGCCTCTCAGAGCCCAGCATCTGGTGTGCCCTTGAATGTGAGTTCCTGAAGACAGAACAGTGGCAATGACCCTGGCTGACACCAGCCCACCTGCAAAGGCGGGCTGGGCAGGACCACAGCTCCATTCCTTGTGCCTTGCAGATGGGTCACAACTAGAATCCCCTCACGGCCCCCAACTCTAGACTCGGGCCCCCTCTATCCCAAGCTTTGGCATCAGATTTCCAAGGCTTAGGTCCTGGCTTCACTGCCAGCTACGAGTGACCTTGAGCAAGTTCTGTGAACTTCACTTTCCTTGTTGGATGAATGATAACCGTTCCTGCCGCATAAAATACAGCAGTTGGCGCAGTGCCTTGCACATAGTAAGCGCCCAATGCATGCTAGTGGTTATTCATCGTACGGTTAGTATCACTATCATTATATTAACATAAGCTTCCGTGCGAACCACTTTGCTGTTCTTCTGAGATTCACAAAGAAACATGATTTTCCTACCAAAATCTGTATTAGGGTTAAAAAAAAAAAAAAAAAAGAAGAAAAGAAGCATGATTTTCCTCTAACTTTAGCTCTAGGTCTTGGGCTTCTTCCTAACAGTGAGGCCCCCTGCAGAGGGGCTACGGGAGCCTGAGGAACAGCAGGGTTCACTCTTCTGCCATTGTGCCTGTCTCAGAGTGGGCACCGTGCCCTACCCATCTAGTCTTGGCTCAGCACCTCTGCTGTTTGCCCTTGCCCAGGACTGTCTGCACACACACACAACCGCACACTTGGGGTGGGTGGGTACTCCCCAAGGTGACATCTACACCCCAGGGTGACAGTGGACAGCAGCAGCTGCTGTGGCTACTTCCCTCGCTCCCACCTCACCCTGCCGCCTCATTAGTTCCCTGGTCATGCTCCAGTCTCCAGGAGAGACTGGCAGCCACCCTGAGCCTCAGTCACAGGAGCAGCACCTCCCTGCTCCTGGCTGCTGCCCTCAGCCGCCCTGCAGCTCCCAGCAGCCTTTCCCCGTCACTCAGGCTCCCCCGGCAGAGAGATTAGCATTGACACAGAGGAAGCCACCACATCAGGGCTGCGCCTCCCGTCTTGTCAAGGAGCTGAGGTTCATTCCGGAAGCAGAGCCAGTTGCGGTGGCAGTGTCCATGCCAAGACCACCACTGGGGGTTGGGACAGGGTTTTGGGCACAGGCAGTGACAGTCTTCGGCATACTGGGTGCTTCCCCACCCCAGCAATGCCGCCTTCTGCCATGCTCTAATCTGTTGCAGAACTGCTGGCTGCCCAGCTCTGTGTTTGTGGAGAAGCGGCAGGAGGACCACAGAGTGAGGAGGTGAGGAACTCTAGCCGTCCTGAATCTACCACTGTTCAGTAATTTACGGTTCAAACCTAACTGTGCCAGCTCACATATACGGGACACTTACCCAACGTGCTAAGCTGTTCCATGCATTATCTAATCAACCCTTCCAACAACTCTTAAGAGATAGATAGCACCACGATCTCCATCCTACAGCTAAGGAAACTGAGGCACAGAGGTGTTCAGAAACGTACCCAGGCCACAGGTAGGATGCACTGGTGGAAGAAGGTTCAAACCCAGGAGCCCTGACTCTGGATGCCCTCCTATTGGACTCTGTTGTTTCACAGTAGCCAGCACCCTGGACCGGAAGGGACCCCACCCTTTGCCTCAGCTCCACCTCTCTAGTTACCCTTTATGTACCCTCTCCTAAGCCCCTGAGAACTCCTGCTCCCATTCCCAAGCAGTGGCTCCTTGCAAGGAAACGGGAGGAGAAAGGACCCAGCCTCCATGGGTACAGTGTCCTAGTCAGGATTTAAGCCATTGCTCCATTTGAAGGTCCACCCTAGCCCTGAGCTTCACACCAACCCCTGTGATGGGAGCCAGTGGGCCGAGGAAGGGGCGCCTGGGTCCCGGGAGCTTTCTGCGGGGAGCTCTAGGCTGAGAGAGGCAACTTTCTGCAGCAGGAGCTGCAAATGTGCAGATTGCGCAGAGAACCCAGGGTGGGAGAGGCCCCGAGAATAAGAGGCGAGCGTGGGCTGGGTGTGCGGGGAAGGTGTAAACACAATCTGCTCCCACCAAAGCCAGCCTGCTCCCTGGGGGAGAGAGCCCCCCCACCAGCCCACATGGCACTCCAGCTGCCCAGGCAACCTCCAAGCCCAGGCAACCACAGCCCCGCCGCCAGCCAGCAGCCCCTTCCTCTCTCTTTCCTGCCCTTCATCTAGATGGGGTCCCTGGAGCAGCGGGCACCTCCTCGCAGGTTCTTGGAACAGTGCTGTGGAGGGGCGCTGCCTTGGGGAAGTGCTTCTGGGCCGTAAGCCAGCCCCATGACCTTGGCCTGACAGTTCCTCAGACCAGTGGAAGAAGATAGGCAACTTGGAAATGGCAGCAAGCATGAGGTGACAGGAACGTGGCAAATAGATGAGAGAATAAATGCAGACAGGATCAGGGAACACAGACTGGTCCCCGGAACAGTGCCCCCTGGCCCTCAGCCTGACAGGCCTGTCACCAGGAAGGCCAATGCTTCTCAGGAGAGAGACAGGCTCACGGCCTGGGTCAGGTTGGCGCTCTGGCTTTGCCCCTGCGGGCTCCTTCCCTAGTGTGACTTTCCCCCTGCCTCCTCCCTGCCCTACTTTGAGAGGCTCCCACAGAACTGCCTTCGCACACACCCCAGCCAGGCTCCCCGAGGAACCCGCAGCCCCTTCCCAGCGGGGTGCGCCTCCTCCCCCACCCTGAGCGCCTCCCCAGTGGTTCCCTCTCCTCTGCGGCATCCCTCACCCTTTCCCTTCCTTCCCTTCAGAGGCGGAGCAGCGGCAGCTGAGGTGCTGCTGTCTAGAGAACTCCTCCGTCTCCTGCTGCCTGAAAGTCAAGGGCAGGGGCCAGCCAGGCGGAGACATCGCCACGGGCTGGCAGAGGGAGCTGGCTGGGGAGGAGAGACTCGTGTGCACGGAAGCACGGGGGGCTTTTGAAGACTAATAGCTGTGAGACGTCGGGAGCAGCTGCCTGCAGGGTCTGCGCCTGAATCTGGGAGTAGAAGCGGAAATCTGCTTTTATCTCTGTGCAGGATCGCAGGATTGCAAAGCGAGAAATGGCAGAGCAGCTGGGGGCAAAGGAGGCAGCCGCGGGGACTGAGCATCAGCAAATTGACAAAAACAAGTGTCAGGCTTTTTCCTTCCCACACGCTACTGCCCATTTGGAACACACGCGCCCGAGCACACACGCAGAAAACACATTGGGAGGACAAGCTGTCAGTTGCTCCCATCCAGCTGCAGGCAGACATGTCACAGATCCAACTGGCATTTCTTATTGATAATTTCAGCAGAGCAGCCAGTGACAGGAGGAGCTCTGGGGAATGGGGAAAAGCAAGTGCCACAGAAGCGAGTGCCACCGTGGCAAACTGACACCAGCACCTCGGACCACAAGCGGAAGCTTCACAGAACAGCTCCTGGGCTGACAGGCAGTGGCTGGGCCGGCAATCCGCCCCCCACCCCTGCAAACTGTGCTGGGTTCCAGGGGGAGGCTGCCTGCCTTGGTGGGTAGAAGCGTGGGCTCTGCAGCTCCAGTGTGAGCCTGGGAGCCTCCACGTACTAGCTAGGTGATGCTGGGCAAATGATTTAACCTCTCTCTGTGTTTCCTCATTTAGAAATTGTGGATAATAACATTACCAGGCTCTGTGGGTGACTGAGGATTAAATTACAGAATGAATGGAAGCCCTTGCTTAGTAAACGTGAGCCATCAGCCGTCCCTTGCTTCTGGGGTCTCCTCACTCCTTACTTATTCCTGCCTCTTGCCTGGGCTGCTGGCTGCCCCGGAATTAGCCTGGAGGACCCAGCAAGTCCCTCACCCTGGGCTTTCTCAGACTCAGCAGTTCCTCAAAGGAGCCCCAGGAACAAAGAGGGAAGGGAGCCCACCTGAGAGCAGCGAGCCCCTCTGCTGTTTCTGCCAGGCCCGGCCAGGTCCTGCTCAGGAGCCCATAGCCAGGGCCTGGGGGAAGGGGAGACTGGCAGGTCCTGGGCTGAAAGTGGGGGTACCTACCCTTTAGTGCTGCTTTCCTCCATTCTCCCTCTTGCTGCTGCCCCGGCTCCCACAGCATCCTCCTGGACTAGGGGACGAACCAGGACCTGAGCTGAAACAGAAAATCGGAACAGATCAGCATTTCTCCCACGCCTGGGGATGGGACTTGCATTTCAGGGTGGATGTTGCAGAGCACCGCCTCTCCCTTGGATGTCCTCCGACACTGCCCTTGTGCCCCAGCATAACCACCACACCATCCCCAAGCCTAGAAAATGTGGTCAAACCACACGTGGTTCTCTGCAAACTAACTCTTGCTCCGTGGCCCGGAACACAACAGGCTTAAGGTAGCAGCCAGAGACACGAGTCCATTCACCTACTTTGAACCTCCATCAATGACCGCAAGGGCTGAACACTGCCTGCTATACTCCTACAGGGCCAGGCCTTGTCTATTTCTTCCTCCCTGTCCCCAGCCCTGCCCTCTGTACTCCCCAGCTCCCAGCCCTGCCCTACCTGCCTGGGCCAGCTGATCCCAGTCTCTGGGCCTGAGCCCACCTGCAGAGGTGAGGCTTTACTTCAGAGGTTCTTCCTCCCTAAACAGAGGAAAGCACTGGGGTCAGGACTGGAGGACATGACGTTCCCATGTTCCTCACTCTCCTCTTCCTCCTTCTCTCATCCCTATAGATTCACCCCAATATTGAGGGGCAGGAGCTCCTAAGAAATCAGTTGGCATTTAGGACAGTGTGACTGGAGAGCAGAAATGTCACTCCCACTGCCAGCCCTCCACAGCAGCCACCATCAGCAGGTGGCTCCTCGATGTCAGACCAATTTTTCCAGTTAACTGGGTCCCAAGGAGTTAATAGGCAATTGCTTCCTTCTGGCTAAGTCACGCCAGGCCTGGCCTGGCCAGATGGTCCTCAGATTTGGCCTTTTCTCTCCCGCCAGGAGGTCCAGGCCCATTTCACGTAGAAGAGGCACTGCCTGGAAGTCAGGGCCCTGAACATCTCGCATTTGCCATGAATGAGATCGATGATCGGGAGCAAGTCACCTAAATCTCCCTGTCCCTCAGTTTCCTCAACAGCTAACCAAAGATTAAAAACACATGTCCTGCCAGTCCTCTGGGTATTGAGACTTCTGAGTGAGCTAATGTATAAGAAACCTCTGGAGAAAACTAAAGCACAGGTCCCGGGTAGAACAAGACAGCTGCTAGCATTTATGGTGCAATCATTCTGCACCCTCACCAGGACCTCACAATCACTGTTATCAACCTTAGTTTACATAAAAATAAACTGATTGCGTAAATGGCCCCACAGTTTTTCCATTAGTAAGAGGGAAGCCAGGATTTAAATTCTCCCTGCCCAACTCCAGACCCAGGCTCAACAGTGAGGACCACTCAGCATTTGAAGGCCTCCTGTGGGGGGAGGCCCAGGGGTGGTCATTTGGTCATTTTATCCAATTTAACTAATGATACTAATCAGGCACTGTTATGATGATCCCAGCCCCCCTACCCAGTGTCACAGAAATGCTTCTGTTTCCTGTACAGGCCCACGGCTTCCCGGCGGTCCTTCTGATCATCAGAATCTCAGGACTCAGAATCCCAGGACTCAGATGACAGGAGACAGGAAGACTGAGGTTCTCTCGGTTGCCAGTGTCCACATATCAAAGGGACTCATTGCTGGCAAGTCCCCACTCAGAGACATGGATGGTCACAGGACCCGCCACCTGCGTCCACCCCGTGTGGAGACACCCTCCTGCCAGCAGGCCCTGACCCGGGGATATAATAGGATCTTTTTTACTCTTTGTTTCACTGGGAGCAAAAAAGTCCCTCTTCAGACGGGTCTCCCATGCTAGGTGAGTCCATAGGCACAAAAGGAACCCCTCGTGCACGGGAACTTAATAAAGATTTGCTGATGTTTCCCTGTATTTCGTTGGGATAGGCGCCCCTGTCATCGAACGACAGTGGTCACCCAGGGAAGGAAAAGTCTGGAAGTTCCCCCAACTTCACCCCCTAAAGACCACATGGCTTCAGCCTAGGGAAGAGTTAACTTTCTGGCCACTGGAGACAGCGTCCTGCCCGCAGGGGCGGCCCAGCCAATGGCACTCAATGCTGATGATGTCATGCTCCTCCCGCGCCTTCTATTGGGGACTGGACAGCGAATCCTGCAGGAGGCTCGGGCAGCTGAGCCGAGGCGGGGCGGGGGCAGAGGAGGAGGAGGAGGGGGAAGGGCAAGGAAAGGCGAGCGAAGCCGCACAGAGCTGCCCCTGCCTCATCCCTCCCTCCACTCCCCTGCGTCTCCCGACAGAAGGTGCCCGGGGGGACCGCCCCGTACTGGAGATGAGAGGCACAGCAGCTTTGGTCCAGAGGAGCGGCTGGGGGCTCCCATTCCCAACTGCAGAAAACAGACATCCGGCCTGCCCACCAGGCGGACGGGGAGCAGGGTGCCTAGGGCAAGCGCCGGGTTACGGTGCCCCACAGGCGCGCACACAGACACACACGTGCACCCCCAACCAGGCACAGCCGCAACATCCTTGGCAGCACCCTCCCTCTCCCAGCCCAGATTCCAGCCTTACCTGCCTGAGGCCTGAGGGTCTGCGTCCACGCTGCTGGCCCTAACTGCCCCATCCACGTCGCTGGGCTCTCTGTGGGAGGCAAGAGTAGGCAGGAAGAGCTATGGCCGTGCCCAGCCCCTCCCTGCCCCTCCACAGGTCCCAGCCCCATCGGGCTATGGCACTGGAGGCTGCAACTAGAGCTTTTGACGCTCTAAGTGTCCCCTGCTCTGAGACTGAGCTCTCAAGGGTTCCTTGAAAATGCCCTCCCAGCTCCCCTGAAGGTCCAGGCTTGGTGGCAGCCCAGCCCCATGGGTCCTCCCCCACCAACCCCCAGCCATAGACCAGTCAGTTTCTCACGGTTGGACTCGGTTGGCAAATCGGCGGCGCCAGAGCATGGCCAGGGTGCTGAGCAGGAAAAGTGTGGTGCACATGGCGCAGCTGCCCCATCCCCTCCCAGACCAAGTCCACAGAAGGCCACAGGCGAGGAGCCAAAATGGCCCCGGCCCGCTCTCAGGAGCCACTGCCGTCTGTCCTGCGGTTCCTGCTGGGGATGGATTAGGAGGCTCAAGCTGATTAGTGGGTCAGCAGCCCTGACCTTGCGAGGACTGATTAAGCTCGCTGGGCCCCAGTTCTCCCCTCCAGCTGTAGGGTCAAGGTGTGCACCGTGGCATTGGGCACATATTCGGAGTGTCTATCTCGGAGACCGGGCCTTGCTTACAAGGAGCTGCCAGTCTAGACAAATGTGCTGTCAAGTACAATGGCTGCAGGAGAGTGACCCAGGAGTGATTCAAGGCACCTCCAAGGCACTTTCAGAGTTGCAGGCCTCAAGGCAAGGTTCAAAGAGGAGCGAGGGCATCTAAATTTGCAGTGCGCAAGGAGGATGAGCCCTCAGACAGAACACGCTGCCGAGGCTACTGACATGAAACCATGGAGCATCTGCCGGTAACTGCAAGGTGAGTAGAGGTGAAGCAATGATGTCACCATAGAAAGATCAGGAGAGGAGGAAGAACAGGGAAGAATATTCAATAATGAAGCCAGAGAAACAGGGGAGACTCAACAGTGAAGGGCTGGCACAGTTTACCCTCTGGACAATCCTCTCCAAACTTTTCTGATTACACACCCTCTTCGGTAAAAGGCAGAATTCAAGTGCGCACTCACAAAATAGATAGGTGCACCCACTTACAAATTATATGCTAGATCATGAAACAGATACATTCCTACACCATAAGGCTGCATTGAATTTGCAAAGGATGAGTTGAAAAGAAATAGCGGATTTCTCCTACTTTCTTTCCACATCCCAAGGGGACCTGTTGGGCAGCCACTTGGTCGCAGCAACTTTGAGAAACTGTTCAGTGTTTGTGGAGCGTGCCATGGAACCAGCCATGACCACGCTGAGACGTGGGTCTGGGAGTAATGTGAGAACCTGAGCCCACCCACTCCTCTCCAGCCCTCCAAAACCTCCAGGAGGCATTAGATTTTCCTTCACTCAACAAGGCGGGGGGGGGGGGGGGGGGGGGCAGTGTCAGAGTCACTGCCCCGGGGTCCCCCAGGCACTGGAACCCTGAGCTCCCAGGAAGGGCCCAGCCTGCAGCTGAGGCTTGCCTGGGCGAGTTCTCCCTGCCTCCCCAGGACCTTACAGTCGAATTTTAAGAATAAATACATGAACCACAGCAGAAGCCCAGAGCCAACCCTTGGCAATGCTTGGGCAATGGGACACCAAGTCTTGAGCAAGGACAAAGGTCATGGGGAGCCTGAGTGACATCTCTTCCTGACACTGTCAGGCCCTGTCTGGCCTCAGGCTGTCCCCAGGACCCAGCAGCCGCTGAAGGGCGGGCACCATGGTACTCTCTCCCTACCTCTGGCCCAACTCACACCGCTCTGGACAGTGTCCACCAGGAGGAAAGATTTGTCTCCCCCAGCCCGGAATCAAGCCCTTGGTGGCAGCTGAGCTGTCCCCAGCGGCCTGCGCCTTCCTCAGGACTTCTTGGCAGACAGGTCCTCTCTGCCCTATCCGGTGCCTCTCCGGACTTTTCTCCGCCACCAGCTGGGCCAGAATTCAGGGCAGCGCCTAGTTCTTGCCTGTCCTTGTCATTCGTAAACCACGGGGGACTTCTCGACGCCCCCGCCGCCACGCGCGTGCACCGAAGGCAACGGGGGTGCTGGGCGGAAGGAAAGGGGGCGCAGGCCTCTGGCGCCCGCGATCGGAAGTGCGCTCAAGTTCGGACAGCCGGGGCGGTGGGCGGGCAGGGGGACGAGCCCCATCTAATACCCCCACCCCAAGAGCCTGGCCGTCTGGAGCTGTGGGAGTGGCGCCGCGGCCCCCAGCGCCTGGCTCCGGGGAGAGGCCGGGGCTCCGGGAGCCCAGCGCGGTCCAGGGGCCCCCCACGGAAGGGCTAGCGGGCAGCCTCACCGCGAAAGCTCAGGAGTGTTGGACTTTGAGTCAGTTCCCCGCCGCGGGAAGGGTCTGCACGCGCACACCAGCGATGCTGCACGCTTTGGGAGCCGGGACCCAGCGCTCCCGGCCCGCGCCCGCCCCGGCGCACTCCTGTGCGGCCCGCGCCACCCAGCGCCGCGTGACCGCCCATTCCTCCCGGGACCCCCATAGCTCCGGCCACACCTACCCCAGCCCCGCCCCGCGGTGCAACTCCGCGGTGGCCTGCGGGTGGGCGGGCAGCAGTCGCGTCGCCCCCACCCCGCGCAGCCTTCACCTTGCCGGCATTGGCTCACCCACACGGGGCCCGGGGTTTGGAGCGGATTTGTTTTTTTAAACATTTTCCAGCAGACCACATCCCCGCCCCCCGCTGGCGGTCCCCCGCCCCCCGCACATATACCCTGCACACACGCACGCACACACACACACACACCCGGCGCGCACAGACACACGCTCCCTCCCTCCGCGCTCTACCCCTCGCCCGCCCGCCGCGCACGCAGCCGGCCCCGGCTCCCCGCGCCCCGCGCCCCGCGCCCGGCGCCCGGCCACCGCCGCAGCCGCCGAGCAAAGCCGGGCTGGGCTTGGAGCTGCTCATGGAGAAAGTGCCGGGGGAGATGGAGATCGAGCGCAGGGAGCGGAGCGAGGAGCTGTCCGAGGCGGAGAGGAAGGCGGTGCAGGCTACGTGGGCCCGGCTGTATGCCAACTGCGAGGACGTGGGGGTGGCCATCCTGGTGAGGTAGGTGTCGCCCGGCCCGGCCGGGCCCTGGGCAGGGAGGGCGGCAGCGGCTCCAGGCAGAGGCGGGTTGGGCCAGGGTCCGAGCTCCGGAGCCACCTCCCCAGCCGTGACTGGGGCCACTGGGGCCGGTGCGAGGTCATCGGGGCGGGCAGCGTGAGGCGCCTTGGGGTGAACGAAGCCTGGGCTGAGCTTTCCCTGGTTCCGGCGCGGGGCTCACCAGGAACTAGGAACAAGATTTGGGAGGGCACCTCGGTCCCCCTCCTTTTCCCGGCCTCAGAACTTCTCCCTCGGCCAGCGACCCCAGACACCCCGTCAAGCTGTCTGACACACACATTTTTCTGGCCTTTCAAAGGGAGTAGCAGGGGCTCCCCATTTTAGAGATGGGAAAACCGAGGCTGAGCCAAGTAAGGGGACAAAGAGGAGCAGACTCTTGTCTCAAGCTCAGCCGCTTGCTGGATTCAAAGCCTCTTGGAAGAACAGGGAGCAAAGCGCAGAGGTTGAGAAGGAAGAGAGCTGGGGCCAGTGTTCCCAGCTGCCCTCTTCGTGCTGGAGGTGCAGGTCAGCAGGAGCTCCTGGGGCAGGCACAGGTGAGTGGAGAAGCAAACAGTGCAGGAGCATACAGTCCCTGCTGAGTTTGAGGGTGACGGGAGAAGAGAGAAGCCTCAGGAGACAGGGCCTAACCCTAAAACCCCCCACCTCGGGAGGAAATGCAGTGGCTTGGGCTTAGGGGGTCATTCAGGCACCACACATCCCTGAGAGAGCCACACACACAGACCGTCCCATTCACACACCTGCACAGAGCGTGCACACACCATTCTCATCGAGGTGATGTGTCCAAGCCTCGAAAGCTAGTAACTGACTCGAGCTACAAATCCATGCTCTCTTCCCTCATGTGCTGGCCCCTGGGGGTGCAGGAAGAGAGGTTCCAGACCACGCTCACTCTCAATCCCCTGTTCTTGGCAGAGGAAAGGGTCAAATCTAGGACAGAGCAAGACAGCCTTGTCATGGGAAGATGGGTGAAGCCTCGCTCTGGAAGGACAGCTTTAGGGCCTCCCTGACTCCCAGGCCTCTTCTCTTTCCCAAGCCTGGGACCTACCAGCCCCACCATGATATGCCCTGATTCCAACTCCAAAGCAGATTTTGGAGGAAAAACAGCAGGAAGCACTTCTAAGGAGTTAGAGGAGCGTTCCTGAGGATGGGGCAGCTGTCTCAGCAGCACCCCAGGCCCAGAAACAGAGCCGAGAGTGGCAGGAAGCTAAGAGGGGCATTGGGATCCTGGAGCCTCAGACTCTCGGAACTGCAGATCCCCACACGTGCCGGCATCCACACAAGCACACAGCAGGCAGCAGAGCCGCAGACGTGCCAGACTGCATCCTCGGACGGGCTGGCAGCCGGGTGCCAGCACCCGCAGCCCACCGGCCTCGTGTGTGTCTGGGCGTGCACATGGGTCACCAGAGGAGGTGAGCCAGGGTCCTCAGGACCTTGGAGGTTTTCTGTCCCAACCCCTGCCATGTGCCTGTGCAGATCCGTGGAGGAAGTGCTCACCATCAGCATCCCGGGGCACCACTGAACCTCCCCAGGAAGGGGACCAGGGCAGGGCAGATGCCAAGGAGAAATGAAGCACTGAGGGCAGGGCTATGTCTGGACGGTCCAAGCTTTCGACAAGGATTTCTTTTTCTCTCTCCACCCCTCTTCCGGTCTCCACTCCTGTCTCTTAGAGGGGCCTGGGCCTGGACTGGGGGAGGTCATTACCAACGTGCTCAATTCCGTGCGGACTAGAGCCCAGCCCGGGCCACTCCCTGCCAGCCCAACCCCACAGGGCCTTGCTTTCCCTTTTCTCTCCTCCTGTCTCTGCCCAGGGCCTGGTCAGTAGGGGAAGGGGAGGAAAGGGAGACAAGGGCTCCTGAAGGTCCCTCCTTAGATCCTGGGCCCATCAGTCTTTACACAGTGCTCTTTCTTCCCACACACAACACACACATCCTCAAGGTCAAGGCCCCAGCTGGAGCCCTCCGGCCAGCGCTCTCAACTGTGCCCTCTTCACTGTGCCAGGCCAGCGTGCTCAGCCCTAGTGAGCCTGCAGGACAAGGAGGAGATCACTGTACCTCCACAGCCCCAACCTGGAGAAGTTGCCACGTTGGTGGGGGTGGAGGAGGCATTGCTTTCAGAACCTGGGGCAGACCCCACACTTCCACTCCCTGCCAGGGAGACCGAGAGAGGGAACACCCACCTTCCCGCCTGGTTGTAACTCTGACACCTTCCTCCTCACACTCAGACAGGCCTATTTCAGGCTCTCTTGGAAGCCCAGATTCCTCTGGGAGCTGAGAAACTCCCCAGGGCTGGCTCTGGAGGCTCCTCTCTGGCAACACAGGCTGAGACTGGGCGGGTCTCAGGTGGAAATGCCATGGAGCCAGGAGGCAGGGGCCATGCACGTGGGCCCCAGGGGCTGCAAAACCTTGGAGGGTCTGGGTGGGGGCTCCCTGAGACTGTCATTCCTCAGGGCCACAACCCAGTGGTGGGTGTTGAGGCAGGAGACACCTGGTTACCAGGCCACAGTCCCCTGGCACAGCTGTTTCTCCAGGCAGTATGCAGAAGCCGTCAAAGCAGGGCCCACCTGGGCCCCTTCCTGGCCCATCTACTCTGTTGGGCAATCTTGGACATCGATTCCTAATTCATAAGAGGGGGATTAAAACGGTGCCTATCTCAGGAGGGAAATGCAAGAATTCGCGAGATCATACAGTAAGTGCTCAATAAATGTTCCCTGTTGTTTCCTCATCAGTAAAATAGAGGTAACACCTGCTTAGCTGTGGCAATTAAATACAATAACAGACCAGGCACCGTGGCTTATATCTGTAATCCCAGCAATTTGGAAGGCCAAGGCGGGCAGAACACCTGAGGTCAGAAGTTCAAGACCAGCCTGGCCAATATGGCAAAACCCTGTATCTAAAATACAAAATTTACCTGGGCCTGGTGGCGGGCACCTATAATCCCAGCTAATTCGGGAGGCTGAGACAGAAGAATCACTTGAACCTGGGAGGCAGAGCTTGTAGTAAACCAAGATCGCACCACCGCGCTCCAACCCGAGCAACAGAGTGACATTCCATGAAAGAAAGGGAAGAGAGAGAGAGAGAGAAAGAGGAAGGAAGGAAGGGAGAAAAAGAGAGAGAGAGAAAGGGAGGAAGGAAAGGAAAAAGAGAGAGAGAAAAGAAAAGAAAAAGAAAGAAAAGAGAGAAAGAAGGAAAGAGAAAGAAGGAGAGAGGAGGAAGGGGAGGAAGAGAAGGAAGGGGTTCAATAACATACATGGAGATACTTTACAAATTGTAAAACACCAGGCAAATATATATAATTATTATTTTGAGTCAGGGTCTTGCTCTGTCACCCAAGCTGGAGTGCAGTGGGACAATCATGGCTCACTGCAGCCACCAATCCTGTGCTCATGTGATCGGATTTTCCTGCTGCAGCCTCCCAAATAGCTAGGACTACAGACACACACCACCACACCAAGCCAATTTTTTTCTTTTTTTCTGGAGACAGGATCTCACTGTGTTGCCCAGGCTGGTCACAAACTCCTGGCCTCAACTGATCTTCCTGCCTTGGCCTCTCAAAGCTCTGGGATTACAGGCATGAGCCACCACACCCAGCCTTTGATTATTATTATTAATTATTATCATTATTTCTTTTGATTCAGGGTCTCACTCTGTCACCCAGGCTGGAGTGCAGGGGCGTAATCTTGGCTCCCTACAGCCTTGACCTCCTGGGTTCAAGTGATCCTTCCACTTCAGCCTCCTGAGTAGCTGGAACCACAGGCATGTGCCACCTCACCTGGCTGTTTTTGTATTTGAAGAGACAGAGTTTGCCACATTGCCCAGGCTGGTCTCAAATGCCTGTGCTCAGGCCATCGCCTGCCTTGGCCTCGTAAAGTGATAGGATTACAGGCGTGAGCCACCGTGCCCGGCCATATCATTATTTTTTATTGCAATTGTAAAACCTCCAATGTCTGAGACGCTCATTTAAGTCCAAATTGGGTTTTTCACATTGGTCCCTCATTACAGTGCTTCTCCAGAAAATTCAGTGTATCTTTAGACCCACTGCCTCACGTGTCCTCACCCTTGTGTTCATGAAGCAGTGAGCAGGGGCTCTCCTCTCGCCTTTCTGCAGACATGAGCTTGTGAGGGGGTTTGCCTAAGGTCACAGTTAGCCTCTGAGAGGGGCCCTCCTGGGTTTCCATGCAGACTGTGCGCTGGTCACTGTGCAAATTTCCCCTGCCAACAGCAGCTCCACCATCAGTAGGGCTGACCCGGCCAGATGCCCTCTCTGCACCTGTTCCAGCCCTCACATCTGAGACTCGACTCCTGGCCAAAGGGCTGCTTCTACAAATTATCAGCTCTCTCTGATCACAAAGGGGACACACAAAGGGGCGGAACAATCTGGAAGAACAGGTCCAGGACACTCCATGCACTTTTGGGGATTCACTTGAGTTATGTAAGTTCTGACTGCGTCGGTGCCTATGTCTCACTTGATATCCGGCCCCCACAGGGAGAGGAGGTGCAAAAGTCATTGTCGACCAGGCACAGTGGTGCATGCCTATAATCCCAGCAATTTGGGAGGCTGAGGTCAGGAGTTCAAGACCAGCCTAGCCAACATGGTGAAACCCCGTCTCTACTAAAAATACAAAAAATTAGCCAGCCGGGCGTGGTGACAGGCACCTGTAGTCCCAGCTACTCAGGAGGCTGAGGCAGGAGAATCACTTAAACTTGGGAGGCAGAGGTTGCAGTGAGCCAAGATTGCACCACTGCACTCTAACCTGGATGACAGAGTGAGACTCAACCTCACACACACGCACACACACACACACACACACAAAAGACATTGTCATTTTCCACACAGCAGGACCCCAGCTAGGGCAAGGGGTCAGGGTGCATGAGAGCCTTGGGATCCAGTCTGACAGGCTGGAAGGGGGTCAGGGAAGGCCACCTGAGTGGTGCCAATGGCCTTGGGGGCAAAGCATTTGCACTGGGCCAGCCTGCTCCAGGTAAGGCATGCCTAACACAGAAAATGGGTCATAAAAAGGAAAGGGGCCTCCTGAGGAACGTTTTCTCAACAGTAAATAGAGCCGCTGGGCCGGGAGAGGGATGACGTGAATATCAGGGGGAATGTGAACATAAGTTTGAAGAAGTGGGTGGGGGACAGTTCAGAAGAAGCTGGGAGTGCCTGGAAAAGGAGTTTCACTTTGGCAGACAATAGGGAGCCGTTGAATGTTTTTGAGCATGGACATGACTTCATGAAAGCAGTATTTTAGGAGAATCGGAACCATTTCAGACCAACTGGAGAGGATTTAATTTCAGGTTAACTATGATTCCGGAGCCTGAGCTCTTACCCTCTCGGCTGTGACTAGAGCAGGCCTTGAAGGGGGTGTAGCGTTTGGGAAGGAAGCAAGAAGTGAGGAAGACAGAGGCCTGGGAGAGGAAGCCACCAGCCTGCGCAAGCCTGGCAAAGGGATGTGGCTGGACTGGGTAGGGGCCCCAGGCGAGCCGGCTTGGCCGAGCGAGGAGGTTCTGTGCTGAGCTCTATGGACGGTAGCGAAAACAGTAATGGGGCAGGGGCGGGGAGGTCTGGGGGTGGCTTCCTCAGCTCCCACTATCCTGGCTGCTTCAGGGTGGGCCCAAGGATGCCCCAGCTTCAGCGTCCACCCCTGTTCCTCTTGCCAGGTTCTTTGTGAACTTCCCCTCGGCCAAGCAGTACTTCAGCCAGTTCAAGCACATGGAGGATCCCCTGGAGATGGAGCGGAGCCCCCAGCTGCGGAAGCATGCCTGCCGGGTCATGGGGGCCCTCAACACTGTGGTGGAGAACCTGCATGACCCCGACAAGGTGTCCTCTGTGCTTGCCCTCGTGGGGAAGGCCCACGCCCTCAAACACAAGGTGGAGCCGGTGTACTTTAAGGTATGCACCCGGCTCTGCTGCAGAGCCCCCACGCCCATTCCCCACGGCCACCCGCAGCTCGCAGGCTCCGGGAGGGCTTCCTGGGGCAGCAGAGGTGACCCCCGGAGTGGCTGCGAGAGGGAGGGGTAGTGCTGGCAGCAGGATGGAGGGGCTAGGTCCAGGGCAGCCTTTGTCCTGACAGCACTGGGTTCCCAAAGCTGCCAGGCTGTGGCGTTAGGAACCATCCCCTTGGCCACACATGGAATGGAGGGGCTTGGGGGTTAACGGACTCAGGGCGCCCCCGCGTTCACTCTCCCTTCCTCCCTTTGCCCCCAGATCCTCTCTGGGGTCATTCTGGAGGTGATCGCCGAGGAATTTGCCAATGACTTCCCACCTGAGACGCAGAGAGCCTGGGCCAAGCTGCGTGGCCTCATCTACAGCCACGTGACCGCTGCCTACAAGGAAGTGGGCTGGGTGCAGCAGGTCCCCAACGCCACCACGTGAGGAGGCGGGCGAGGGTGGGCTGGGCAGCCTCCCTGCCATGTCCTCTCCTGTCCCCAAGGTCTCCCATCTCTCCTGGGGCCCTGGGGCTGACCGCCTGGGAGGGAAAACCTGAGGCAGGCCAACCCTGGGGTCTGACATGGAAGAACAGGCATCACAGGAACAGGCCTTCAAGACGGCTCCCCTGTGACTTGAGGCTGCGCAGAACCGTGAGCCCTGAGCAGAAGTCCTTCCGAGCCTTCCCCTTCCCTAGAGCCAGGGAGTGCTGAGAGCATCCAATGCCACAGCTGGCCAGGCAGAGAGGCGCCAGAGGCTCCTGGCGGAAGGTCCGTCCGATCATCAGGCTCAGAAGCAGCCCAGGCCAGCCTAGCCACTTCCTCCCTGGGTGCCAGTCACAAGGGGATGTTTTTTCATCTCCTGCTGACCAGTGCTGCGATCTGCCCTCTGCCTCAACAGGGCTAGAGCCAGAAGGATCACGAGGACATGTACACACCCACATGCCCAAGCCCACGAGGGAGCTACATGGGTGTCACTCACACGCACGCTCACAGGGGGATGTTTACTTCCAGGCTGACCTGGAGGCTGGCCTTCCAGTCCTGGGCCCGGGAGGTGACTCAAGGAGGGTGGCCGGCCTCCGTGACTCCTGCTGACTCGGAGCGTGAGGGGAGGGCTAGCCCCCAGACACGGCGGCTGGGAACACTCAGCCTCCCTGGGCCCCCAAGGGGAGGCTTACTCTGGGAGCTGAATGGAGATGCAGAGGCAGGGCTGGAGTAGGAAGGAGCAAGAGGAGCGGAGGCGGGAATGGGAAGCAGAGGTCAGCCAGCAGCCCGGGACACGCGTGGTGGAGAAACATTCCCAGCAGTTTCCCATGGAAAAGGCGGTGTCTCCTGCCGGGCTCTACATGGGTCCCCAAGCTGCCGGCCCTCTTGCTCACAGGCGCAGCTCCTGGAGAAGGTCCCCTGAGGGCAGCTGGGGACGTCAGGCCTCCTGCCCTTCCTGCTGCTGACCACACTGGCCCGGGGCTGGCTCCTGCACCCCTCCCCCTTCTCCCGTCAGCACCACCCCAAGAGAATGGAGTCCTCGGGAACTGCTGGCCACAGCCGAGCCAACTCCAGATGTGCACAGCTGGGCCCTGGCCTGCCTGAAACCCGGAGTCAATGGGAAACAAGCAGATGTTGGCCCACCAGAGGAGGGCACTGGCAGAGAGTGGAGAGCTGGGGATGCCCCCTCGCCCCCCACCAGCTGTCACTCAGAGGGTCCAGGGAAGAGACAGGGGAAAAGGGGGAGAGGCGAGGGGGTTTGCCCTCCCACCCCTCTCCCCAGGCAGGCTCTGCTGCCAAAGATGAGCTTGTTTACAGCCAGGACACAAGACTTCCTGCTTCCAGAGAAACGGGCTTTTTTACAAGGGCTAAGAGGGACTGGAAAGAGAGCTGGCTGGGCGAGAGCCCCAGTGAATCAGAAACACATGGCCCGGCTCCCCACACGCTGCCCACCCTGCCCTCCCCACCCTGCCCTGGGACCTCCATCTCCAAACCCCACACATTAGGAAAGTGCCGAAGTCTCCTCCTTCTCCCTCTTCTGCTCCTTGTGGACTAAATGGAGATGGGCTACCGTGGACACTGGCACCCCATGGGGCTTAGCGCCCAGCGGTCAAGTGCTGGGGTTGTCCCCTCGCCCCTTTACATCCTCTAGCCCACTCCTAGGGCCCCTGGCCTGGGCCTGCAGAGCCTCCCTGCTGCCAGGGTCCCCATGGGCTCGAGGGCAGGACAGAGTTACAGGGCAGAGTCCTAGAAGGCCCTTGCCTAACTTCTCTTATCAGGAAGGCAGGAGTGGGCCAGGCGCCACTGTTTATTGAGCCGTCTCTGCTTCAGGGTGTGCGCCTTTGCGTGGGCGGGCGGGGGTGTATGCATGATTGCAGCGGGGGCTGCGTGAACCAAGAATATGAGAATACACGTGGTGGCCCCAGGAGGGACGAGACAGGCCGGACAGAACTCGCCATGCTTCAGAATTAATGGAAAAAGAGCTCACGTTGGTATGGTGCTTTGCAGTTTGTGAAACATTTTTTTGCTCAGTTTATGCACAAGACAGACATTATTCGCGTTTTAGAGAAAAAGATCCAGAGTTCCCATGGGCCAACAGACTTGCCTGAGATCACAGCAGGTTCGGAGCAGGACACAGAATGCAATCTCACAGTTGCTTTCAACCACACTGTGCTGGGTCTCCTGGCAGGAAGTGAGCCTCGCCAGCCCCAGGTCCCTTTCCCCCCAGGGTCCTTCCTGCCTCTGGTAACCTATATCCTTCCCTTCCTATCTCGTCCACAGCCCACCGGCCACACTGCCCTCTTCGGGGCCGTAGGACCCCTCCCTCCACCCCCCTCCCTGGCAGCACCTTGAGCAGAAGGCCGAGTTCTGAAGACCCTCCTTGACAACCAAGGAAGCTGGAGGAATCCCTGACTCGACTTCCCCGAAGGAGGCCTCTGCGGCGGCCATGGCCCCCCCGGAGCTGCTGGGAGGCAGCGCTGGCTGCCTGGATGCTGACCCCAGCGTGGCGGGCGGGTGGGGGACCCTTCCTCCTCGCAGAGCGGGGCCCACTCTTAGCTTTTCTACTCACTGTTAGAGAGAGACCTAGCTGTGTGGCTGGCGGGGCTCAGGACAGGTCTAGGAGTCCCTTGGGGAATAAACCAGCCCCGTTTCTATCAGCCCAGCCGGCACACAAGTCTCCATATCACCATCTAGAGTATCACGCACACATCTACCATATATACAGATATATTCTATATATGAGCTATATATAAATATATATATACATATATATACACACGTACATATCTAGAATGTGTATCTGCAGGGCCCAGAAGCCTCGGTTCTGCCCACCTGTGAGTGGGGCAGGGAGGAGTTCCCGTTGCGCAGAGAACAGTGTTCTGGCAGAAAGGAAGTCCCACAGCGGCGCAGAGGACCTGGGCCTGGAGGGGCAGGGCTGGGGCAACCCGGCTTGGCAGCAAAGTCCAGCCCCTTCTCAGACCAGCTCCCCACATTCCTGCATTCCACTTCCAGGCAGAAAGGAAGGGGCTCCCCCCACTCCCCCAGAGGAACTGACTCACCAATTGCCCGAGAATGGGTTGGCGCATTCTGGACGGGCTGACCGCACTGGGGGAGGGGCCTCAGTCCAGAAACTTGGACCGCCAGCTCCACCTGCCTTGGCCACCAGAGCAGCCCCAGGGGATCCGGGCTGCTGGGCAGCAGGTCGGTGGGACCACATCCCTGGGTCTCATCCTCAGTTCTGAGGGCCGAGGGCCTTCCCCACCCCATCCTCCTCCTGGCCAGTGGTCGGCCCTGTCTATTCATCTGTGTCAGCCTTGTCGGGGGAGGGGGACCCCCCCAAGTGTGCCCCTTGGTCACATGTATTGTCTTCAAGGATGTTTTGCTGCTGTGGCTACTATGCCTGTGTCCCCTCCTGTCCCATCTTCAGGCTGTCATCTGTGTAACTGCCTGTCTTCCTTTTCTAGTTTCTGATGTTTGTAACCAGACCCAGCTGTGTCATTAAACAGACCCGTTCTTGCTGTACCTGTGCACACTTGTGCGGTCTCTTCCTCGCCTCTGCCTCCCCTCCCTGGTTCTGGGCTCAGGCCTTTTTCCTGAAAGTCCTCCCTTGGCCAGCCGTGGTGGCTCATGCCTGTAATCCCAGCACTTTGGGAGGCTGAGGCAGGCAGATCACAAGGAGTTGGAGACCAGTCTGACCAACATGGTGAAACCCTGTCTCTACTAAAAATACAAAAATTAGCCAGGCGTGGTGGCGGTCACCTGTAATCCCAGCTACTTGGGAGGCTGAGGAAGGAGAATCACTTGACTCCGGGAGGTGGAGGTTGCAGTGAGCCGAGATTGTGCCACTGCACTCCAGCCTGGGCAAAAGAGCAAGACTTGGTCTCAAAAAAAAAAAAAAAGTCAGGAGGTTTTAAGATTTGGTTCTGGAAATCTCTTCCCAGCAAGAGTAGAATAGGGAGGAAGGAATCAGAGGCGAGATATCCAGACAGAAGGACCCTGTTTGTCCCAGTGCTTTAGTGATAGAGCCAAGGATTGAACCTTGACCGTTTTTTTTTTTTTTTTTTAAAACAGAGTTTCGCTTTTGTTGCCAGGTTGGAGTGCAATGATGCAATCTTGGCTCACCAAAACCCCTGCCTCCCCGGTTCAAGTGATTCTCCTGCCTCAGCCTCCCGAGTAGCTGAAATTACAGGCATGCGTCACCACGCTCAGCTACTTTTGTGTTTTTAGTAGAGACAGGGTTTCTCCATGTTGGTCAGGCTGGTCTCGAACTCTTGACCTCAGATGATCCCCCCACCTCAAGTTACATGCAGTGGATCAGCCCTTGGGTATTTGAGAAAGGAAGACTGCTCTCATAAGCCTTAAACCCCCAATGCCTTCTCTGTGCTCTCAGCTCCCAGATTCCCTCCCCAGCCCTCTATCCCTCACCCCATAGCCGGCTGGGTCAGGCCTGCCCAGCCCCCACTTCATGATGCAGGCAGCAGCAGCAGCAGCTCCCTGAGAAGGGACCAGGAGGTCACCAGCGCCGGGTGGGCTGCAGGAGAAGCAGGAAACAGCCTCTGCCCCTTGGGAGGCCTGCGGGCTGCCTGGGAAGACTCAGCGGACATGCAGGAAGAGTCTTGTCTCCCAGACCATGATCTCCTTGAGCGCAGCCTCTGCCTTTGTTTCCTGGGCCTGGCACAGGGGAGGAACTCAGTAGAAATCCAAAGAATCAATAAAGAACTGCTCTTAGAAAGCAAGACAAGTACCTAGTACGGGCCAAGAGTGAGCTGTATGAACTAAAACAGTGCAGGGCAGAGAGGACAGCGCGGGCCTGGCCCTTCCAGGAAGGCGATGCCAAAAGACAGCGCACTGGCTCTGGGCCCAGACTCCATCTCTTGCTGCTATTTGACCTTGGGCAAGTTAGGCAGCCTTTCTGAGCTGCAGTTACCTCTAACTTACAACAGGAGTGAACATGAAGGCTGCCTTGCAAGGCAGGTACGACGAGGAGGAGGATGGATGCCACAGGAAAGGGGACAGTGACAGGCCATCGGGGCCATGTCAGGAGGCAAAGGAAAAGAAATAGAAGGAACTAGCTGGGCGCAGTGGCTCATGCCTGTAATTCCAGCACTTTGGGAGGCAGAGGCAGGCAGATCACTTGAGGTCAGGAGTTCAAGGCCAGCATGGCCAGCATGGTGAAATCTTGTCTCTACTAAAAATACAAAAATTAGCTGGGTGTGGTGGCAGGCACCTATAATCCCAGATACTTGAGAGGCTGAAGCAGGAGAATCACTTGAACTCAGGAGGAGGAGGTTGCAGTGTGCCAAGATCGAGCCACAACACTCCAGCCTGGGAGACAGAACGAAAATCCGTCTCAAAAAAAAAAAAAAAAGAAAAGAAACAGAATAGCAGGAAACCAGGAGCGCTTCCAACTCCGGGGCCCAGGCAAGCCAGAGCTGGAACCGAAGCAATGTGGGCCACAGAGCCAGGGCCGTAGGGACTACCGGGACTCTGGAGGAAAACGGGCTTCTGAGGTCTGGGGTGGGGCAGACCTTCCGGGAAGACAGCCCGGCCCCCATCCCACATCAGTCGGCTTGAGAATGGTGAAGGGGCTTCTGAACGCATCAAAACCGGAATCCTTGGGGAATGTGGCCCTTCGGGAAGGCTCTCCCTGTTCTCCACTCCCGACAGAGAGGACACTGGCAATTAGCGAGTCAGCCAGACCCGGGCTGAGGATGCGGCTTGGAGCTGGTACAAACCAGGCACCCCCAGAGGCCTTGCGGGGGGAAGGCGCGGGATTCTCGGTGGGCCATGCCTAAGCGCAGGGGACGAGCGGGTAAGAAGCAACGTCCGGGCCTCGGTTGTTCTCGACACCCAGCGTTAGCCATCTCGCCCAGGCGCTGAGCAAGTGGGTCAGCTCCCCGGGCGAGCCGGGGCTGCGAGCGACGTGGGCGTCGGGAACCCGGGTGCGCTGCGGCTCCTTTCCCGGAAACGCGGTCCTGGCGCCGCAGCCCCACAGCGTCCCCTGCTGGCCGCGGAGGGATCCTCACCCAGGAGCCGCCTCTTGCGCCCGGACCCGTTACCTGCCTGGGGTGACCCCTTCCTCCCTCTCTTTCAGGAGGTGCCTGCCTGGGGTGACCCCATCCTCCCTCTCTTTCAGGAGGTGCCGCCGCGCCGCAGCCTGAGACCAGAGAAGCTGGAGGAATGCCGTCCCAGCTTCTTTCAGGAGAAGGAAGTGGAGGATTCTCTGTGCAGCCTTGTACACACTCAGGAAAATCGCCCCCTCCCATCGTTGGAACCAAGTGGAAAAAGTTAATAAATGCTTTTTTTTTAGAACGCCTGTAATCCCAGCACTTGCACACGAGGTCGAGGCTGCAGTAAGCTGTGATCGTGCTGTTGCACGTGTCTGGGCAACAGAGCAAGGCTCCATCTCAAAGCATAAAATACAATAAAATGAATCTTTCTTTATCATGGATATTTTTGTTTTAACATTTCGTTTTGTTTTGTTTGTTTTGTTTTTTAAGACGGAGTCTCTCTTTGTCGCCCAGGTTGGAGTGCAGTGGCGCAATCTCGGCTCACTGGAATCTCTGCCTCCCGAGTTCAAGCGATTCTCCTGCCTCAGCCTCTTGAATAGCTGGGATTACAGGCACCTGCCACCATACCGTTAATTTTTGTAGTTTTGGGAGAGATGGGATTTCACCATGTTGGCCAGGATGGTCTCAATCTTCTGATCTCGTGATTCGCCTGCCTCAGTCTCCCAAAGTGCTAGGATTACAGGCATGAGCCACCGTGCCCGGCCAATATTTTTTTTTTTTTTTTTGAGACGGAGTTTCACTCATGTTACCCAGGCTGGAGTGCAATGGCGCGATCTCGGCTCACCTCAACCTCCGCCTTCTGGGTTCAGGCAATTCTCCTGCCTCAGCCTCCTGAGTAGCTGGGATTACAGGCACACGCCACCATGCCCAGCTAATGTTTTGTATTTTTAGTAGAGATGGGGTTTCACCGTGTTGACCAGGATGATCTCGATCTCTTGACCTCGTGATCCACCCGCCTCGGCCTCCCAAAGTGCTGGGATTACAGGCTTGAGCCACCGCGCCCGGCTCTATTTTTTTTAATATTGTATTTCAATATTATTTCTCTTGATAACTAGGCACCTTAAATTTTGGGCCCCAGGCCAGCACCTCATTCACCTCATTCACCCTATTCTAGGCTCTGTCTTATTGTAGCACATTTGAAGGATCCCAGCCAAAGAACACCCATTTTAAAATTTTATATATTCATTTATTTATCTGAGACACTGTCTGGCTCTGTTGCTCAGGCTGGAGTGCAGTGTTGCGATCACAACTCACTGCAACCTCAAATTCCTGGGCTCAAGCGATCCTCCCTCCTCAGTCTCCCAGCATGCTGGGATAATAGACATGAGCCACTGTGCCCAGCACATACTCTTCTTGACCTCCAGAAAGTCACCCCACCCACGCAGAGGGCAGCGGGTTTCATAGTTGCTCACTGGCTATCTCTGGTAAGAGAATTGTTTGCAGCAGGGTATAAATTTGAATGTGGCCGTTAGGGCTGAAGACCCTGGGGCAGGAGCTTTTGGTAGCAAGAAGCAAAGTCCTATTTGGGCTCCCAAAGTGAGGGTGGGGAGGCCGGGTGCTGCGGCTCACGCCTGTAATTCCAGCACTTTGAGAGGCTGAGGCAAGAGGCTCACCTGAGATCAGGAGTTCAAGACCAGCCTGGCCAATATGGAGAAACCCCATCTCTACTAAAAATACAAAAAAATTAGCCAGGTGTGGTGGCGTGCACCTGAGATCACACCACTGTATTCCAGCCTGGGCCACAGAGCTAAACTCTGTCTCAACAAAAAAAAATTTCAAAAATTAGCCAGGTGCAGTGGTATATGCCTGTAATCCCAGCTACTCAGGAGGCTGAGGCAGGAGAATCTCTTGAACCCAGGAGGCGGAGGTTGCAGTGAGCCAAGAAGGCACCAGTGCACTCCAACCTGGGTGACAGAGTGAGACTGTCAAAAAAAAAAAAAAAAAAGTGAGGATGGGGAGTGCATAGCAAAGACATGTTTGGAAATAAGAGAATTTGGTCTCTGGGGATCAGGTAAAGCCACATGACCCAGCCTTGCTGGAAGGGGAGACCGGCACAGCTGCCCAGGAGCCTGGGAACTGGACATAGGACTGGGGGAAGGCAGCTCCCAACCCAACCATCTCTTGACCCTCTGATCATTATCGGGGCCCCCACTGTCTCCTGCTCACCTGCACCGCAGCCTTAGGTCCCTGGGACCCCACTCATGTTGGGCAGGTTCCTTCACCTTCCCCTCCTCCCATCCCGGTGACCAGCCGTCAATCTCCTCTGTGGAAAAACGCTGTAGAAACACTGTCAGATCCAGCTTTTCTCAGCAGTTGGGGTGGACACAGGTCTCATTGGAGGCCACCCTGTAAGCCTGCCTGGAACCTGCCTGGGATCTGATCAGCTCTGGCCATGTGGCACAGTACTCCGGCCTCACTTCACTATTTCCTGGGGAAGAACAAAGACATCAT